GCGGAGGTTGCGGTGAGCCGAGATCGCGCCATTGCACTCCAGCCTGGGTAACAAGAGTGAAACTCCGTCTCAAAAAAAAAAAAAAAAAAAACATTTTCTGTAGCGACAGGGTCTCACCATGTTGCCCAGGCTGGTCTTGAACTCCTGGGCACAAACAATCCCCGTGCCTCAGCCACCCAAAGTACTAGGGGTATAGATAGGCATTAGGATGCTGTGCCTTTAGACAAACATCTCTCCCGCCTGGCTCCTGGGAGCTCTTTCCCCTACTGGAAGGCTCTAGATCCCATCGTATGTATCTTTGGGGCTAGGAAGCAGATCCAGGCTACTCGGGGAGGTGGCTTTCATCTGATAAATACGGCTCGCAAGGTTGCTCAGGCCTGCAATCACGACGCTTTGGGAGGCAGAGTTGGGAGAATCACTTGAGTTCGAGGTTGCAGTAAGCTCTGATTATGCCACTGCATTCGAGCCTGCACAACAGAGTGAGACCACGTCTCGAAAATCAATAAATACGGCTTTATTTATAGTTTTCCCAGAAGATTTTTTCTGGGGTTCCCATCTTTTTGGGTCTCTCTCTAGACTGCCACATTCTCTCACAGCACAGGCCCTTCTGGGCTCTGTGGTCCTCAAATTCCCTTCCCAGCCCCACCTTCCCTGCAGGCTTCCTTAAAACCTGTCTCCTTGACCAGGCGAGGTGGCTCACACCTAAAATCCCAGCGCTTTGGGAGGCCGAGGTGGAGGGACTACTTGAGGTCAGGAGTTCAAGACCAGCCTGGCCAACATAGCCAAACCTGTCTCTACTAAAAATACAAAAATTAGCCGGGCATGGTGGCACGTGCCTGTAATCCCAGCTACTCTTGAGGCTGAAGCAGGGGAATCACTTGAACCCAGAGGCAGAGGTTGCAGTGAGCTGAGATTGTGCCACTGCACTTCAGCCTGGGAGACAGAGTGAGACTCCATCTTAAAAAAAAAAAAAATTAGAACCTATCTCCCTGCCAAAGACATCAGTTGGGCGCCAACCACCCTTGAAAGATCACTGCCTGCACCCCGTGCCACTGTGGGTAGGTGAGACCACCTCACTATCTCTGGAGGAACGGCACTGTCTTAGATTCTCCCATTTGCATGTCAAGGTACCATCACCCCCTTCCTGTCTACTGTTCTTCCCCGCCCCGCCCCCACCCCCAGTGTTTTTATGGTGTTAGGTCTTATGTTTAAGTCTTTTTTTTTTTTTTTTTTTGAGACAGGTTCTTATTTCTCTGTTGCCCAGGCTGTGCTATGATCACAGATCACTGTAGTCTCCTGGCCTCAAAAGATCCTCCCGCCTCAGCCTCCTCCCTCAGTAGTTGGGGCTACAGGCACATCCCATCATACTGGGCTAATTTTTATTTATATTTCTAAATTATTATTTTTGTGATGGAGTCTCGCTCTGTTGCCCAGGCTGGAGTGCAATGGTTGTGTCGTGGCTCACTGCAACCTCCAACTTCGGGTTCAAGCGATTCTCCTGCCTCAGCTTCCCGAGTAGCTGGGATTACAGGCACCTGCCACCACGCCTGGCTAAATTTTATATATATATATATTTTTTTGAGACGGAGTTTCGCTCTTGTTGCCCAGGCTGGAGTGCAATGGTGCGATCTTGGCTCACCGCAAGTTCCGCCTCCTGGGTTCAGGCAATTCTCCTGCCTCAGCCTCCTGAGTAGCTGGGATTACAGGCATGCGCCGCCATGCCCAGCTGATTTTTTGTATTTTTAGTAGAGACGGGGTTTCACCATGTTGACCAGGATGGTCTCGATCTCTTGACCTCGTGATCCACCTGCCTCGGCCTCCCAAAGTGCTGGGATTACAGGTGTGAGCTACCACGCCCGGCAGTTTTATATTTTTTTTTAGTAGAGATGGGGTTTCAACATGCTGGCCAGGCTGGTCTCAAACTCCCAACCTCAGGCCATCCACCCACCTCAGCCTTCCAAAGTGCTGGGATTACAGGTATGAGGGTACCTGGCTGTTTCTTATTTGTATATTTATTTGTATATTTATTTTGAGACAGGGCCTCCCTCTGTTGCCCAGGCTGGAGTGCAGTGCCATGATCCCAGCTAACTGCAGCCTCTGCCTCCCAGGCTCAAGTGATCCTCCCATCAGCCTCCTGAGTAGCTGTGACTACAGGTGTGCACCACCACACCTGGCTACTCTTATTTTTAGTAGAGATGGAGTTTCATCATGTTGGCCAGGCTGATCTTGAACTTATAAACTCAAGTGATCCACCTGCCTCAGCCCCTAAAGTGCTGGGATTATAGGCATGAGTTACTGTGCCTGGCCCTAGCTAATTTGTTTTTGTAGAGAAAGGATCTCACTATGTTGCCCGGATTGGTCTCAAATCCTGGCTTTCGATGATGCTCCTGCCTTGGCTTCCCAAAGTGCTTGGACTGTGGGTGATGAGCCATCATGCCCAGCCCCCTGTTCTCACCCACAGTCGCAATTGGTGTCCCCTAGTCACCCATGTGGGCCCTGTGTTCTCCCGCTGCCTCCCACCCTGTCTGACTTCCCTTTGTTCCCCAGATGCCTGTGGCCTCTCGGACCCGGCCCATGTGGAGAGTCTGCAGGAGAAGGCACAGGTGGCCCTCACCGAGTACGTGCGGGCGCAGTACCCGTCCCAGCCCCAGCGCTTCGGGCGCCTGCTGCTGCGGCTCCCCGCCCTGCGCGCGGTCCCTGCCTCCCTCATCTCCCAGCTGTTCTTCATGCGCCTGGTGGGGAAGACGCCCATCGAGACGCTGATCAGAGACATGCTGCTGTCGGGGAGTACCTTCAACTGGCCCTACGGCTCGGGCCAGTGACCACGACGGGGCCACGTGCGCCGTGGCCAGGCCTGCAGACAGACCTCAAGGGACAGGGAACACTGAGGCCTCGAGGGGTCTCCCAGGGCCCAGGACCCTGGCTTCTCTCCTCAGACTTCTGTTTTGTAAAGACTGTGAAATGTTTGTCTTTTCTGTTTTTTAAATGATCATGAAACCAAAAAGAGACTGGTGATCCAGGTCTCAGCCTCGTCCTCCCAGGACCCCTGGCCCGGATGGAGCATGAACTTACGGGATGGTGGGGGCGGCTTCCCTGGTGTGATGGACAAAGGCCTGGCATCTGGACCGGAGGGGCCACTCCAGCGGGCAGGGGTAGCTAGCGTGTGCTAGGCCAGATCCTCTGGACGCGTAATCTACGTCAGACACTACATGATGACTCAATCAAAGCCAAGAATAAAGATATTTCCTACCTGTGTGGCTTCCCTGATCTTTATTTATTTATTTTTTTTTTGAGACGGAGTCATCCTCCACCTCCCAGGCTGGAGTGCAGTGGCGTGGTTTCGGCTCACTGCAACCTTCGCCTCACAGGTTCAAGCAATTCTCCTGCCTCAGCCTCCCCAGTAGCTGAAACTACAGGCACCCACCCCCACACCCGGCTAGTTTTTTTGCATTTTTGGTAGAGATGAGGTTTCACCATGTTGACCACGTTGGTCTTGAACTCCTAACCTCAGGTGATCCGTCCCCACTCAGCCTCAGAAAGTGCAGGGATTACAGGCGGGAGCCACCTTGCCTAGCCTCAGTTATTTTCTTTGGTCAGCACTTAATTTTTTTTTTTTGAGATGGAGTTTTGCTCTTTCACCTGAGCTGGAATGCAATGGTGCAATCTTGGCTCACTGCAACCTCTACCTCCTGGGTTCAAGCGATTCTCCTGCCTCAGCCTCCTGAATAGTTGGCATTACAGGTGCACACCACCACGCCCAGCTGATTTTTGTACTTTTCAGTAGAGATGGGGTTTTGCCATGTTGGCCAGGGTGGTCTCGAACTCCTGACAGATGATCCACCTGCCTCGGCCTCCCAAAGTGTGATTATAGGCATGAGCCACTGCCCCAGCTCATGGTTTGGACTCCAGTGTCCTTGGGAGAAACCTCTGGGGGCCAGTCCTGTCACATGATCTCAGCCCAGCCAATCAGAGCCCACCATTCCCTGGGCCACAGCAATTGGTTTATGATGGGCTTGGGATTCCAAACCAGCCAGTGAGATTCTACAGCAGGATTGGGAACTGGGAGGATCTAATTAAAGCAGAGCCAAGGATGGATGATCTATTTCCCAAGATGCCTTTGGAGCCCGTGGATCAAGCCATACCTGAAACCCTTGGGTGTTTTAAGTTCTATGAACTCAGACTTCCCCCTTTCATGCCTGAGTCAAACTGACGTCAATTTTTTTTTTCTCACATGGAACTAAAAATCTGTCTCAGGGCCTGGCATGGGTTGAGCACTGGAAGACCCTCCCCCCAGGCCAGGCATATGAACTGTGCCCACACAGTGCCTGGGGTCAGTTGCTGTCCTGAAGTGCCAGGGAGACATGGAGAATGGAGGAATCTGGCTGGTCGCAGTGGCTCATCCCTGTGATCCCAGTACTTGGGGATGCAAGGCAGGAGGATCGCTTGAGCCCAGGAGTTTGAGACCAGAGACAGACCCCACCTCTACAAAAAACAAAATTAACCGGGTGTCGTGGTACATGTCTGTGGTCCCAGCTACTCAGGAGGCTGAAGTGGGAAGACTGCTTGAGTCTGAGAGGTGGAGGCTGCAGCAAGCCATGATCACGCCACCGCACTGCAGCCTGGGTGACAGAGCGAGACACGGTCGCAAACAAACAGCTGGGCGTGGTGGCTCACGGCCTTTAATCCCAGCACTTTGAGAGGCTGAGGTGGGCGGATCACAATGTCAGGAGACCAGCCTGACCAACATGGAGAAACCCATCTCTATTAAAATACAAAATTAGCCAGGTGTGGTGGCACATACCTGTAATCCCAGCTACTCGGGAGGCTGAGGCAGGAGAATTGCCTGAACCCAGGAGGCGGAGGTTGCGGTGAGCCGAGATTGTGCCACTGCACTCCAGCCTGGGCGACAAGAGCGAAACTCTGTCTCAGAATGAATAAATAAACAATTTGTGTGTGTCACAAATGAGTGCAATCAGACGTGGTAAGCAACTATACTCAGCAGGTGTCTAATACGTGTTTATTTCACTGAAATGGAGAGCAGGACCTACTTGCAGGGAACAGGTTGAGATCTGGAGTCCCTGTAGGGTCAGAGCTAGAGGTCCTAGAGGAGGAAGTCCTGGGAGGCCTGCCCGGAGGAGGGGCTGTCAAAGCTGAGTCCAAAATGAAGAAGCCTTTGCAGTTTTGGAGAAAGCTACCCCTGGCAGGGGGAACTGCAAGAGGAATGGCTGAGAGATACCAAGAAAAGCCAGGGACCTGCATCCCCACGTGTCCCTCTGCCTGTCTGCAGGGGCACTCAGAAGTACACAGAGCCCTCGCTGTCTCCTCGGTCATCGAACTTCTGGATCTGGGTCTTGAGATGCCTCAGTTTACCCTTCAGGTAGTGGCAGCGAGCCTGCTTGTCCAGGAAGCCAGGGTCCTAGGCAGGGCGACAACCCGAAGGCCTTGCAGCAGTCTGCCCTGCGGCCCTCCAGCTGCTCAAGCCTCTGCCTTTCATTCTCAGAACCTCAGTGTTTCTCCTTGAAATGGCACAGGCAGCCAGGTGAGTCGGGTGAGGTGGTTCTTGCCTGTAATCCCAGCAGTCTGGGAGGCCAAGGTGGGCGGATCCCTTGAGGCCAGGAGTTTGAGACCAGCCTGGCCAACATGGTGAAACCCTGTCTCTAAAAATATAAAAATTAGCCAGGTGTAGTGGTGGATGACTGTGATCCCAGCTACTCAGGAGGCTGAGGCAGAAGAATCACTTGAACCTGGGAGGCAGAGGTTGCAGTGAGCTGAGATCACGCCACTGCACTCCAGACAGAGCGAGACTCTGTCTTGAAAAAGAAAAAGAAACTGGCTGGGCGCAGTGGTTCATGTCTGTAATCCCAGCACTTTGGGAGGCCAAGGCAGGCGGATCATGAGGTCAGGAGATCAAGACCATCCTGGCCAACATGACGAAACCCAGTCTCTACTAAATACAAAAATTAGCCACTACAGGTGGTGGTTCGTACCTGTAGTCTCACCTACTCGGGAGGCTGAGGCAGGAGAGTCGCTTGAGCCCAGGAGGTGAAGGTTGCAGTGAGCCGAGATTGTGCCACTGCACTCCAGCCTGGGCGACAGAGCGAGACTCTGTCTCGGAAAAAAAAAAAAAAAAAAAAAAAAAAAACTGGGCCGCATGCGAGTGTCAGGGGATGCAAGACTCACCATTTGCTTCTTCTCAAACTCCCTCCAAACTCGGGCTGCAACTTGGGCCTCCTTCTGCAAGAGGAGGAGGAGAGAGGGGCTTTAAGGAGAGTTGAACTCAAGGGGGGATAAGGAAACTGAGGCTCAGACAGACTAAATGCCCATCTAGTGGGGACTTCAAGGGCTGACCTTAGCCATATGTCATGGCACCCAGCCAGCCTAGAGGAGAAAGTCCTGGAGATCTGGACCCAGTGGGTATCCCAGAGGCTTAGGTCGGGCCACTCATAAGGGCTGCGGGGCAGGGCTTTCTCCCCAGCGCTGACCTGGCTTTGGGGTGGGGGCAGGGAGCTCAGCCGGGCCTCCAGCTGCCTGAGCTTTGCCTGTGCGCACCCCACCTCCCTCTGGAGCTCCAAGTACTCTCCATACTGGTCCTGGAACACCGCGGCATATCGGCTCCGTTCCCTTGCACTGCTCACCGGTGGGTACTTACTAGCAGGTTGAAGGGGGTCAGAGTGTGAGTGTAACGAACCCCACCCTCTCCCAGTCAGTGTAATTGGCTTTTCTTTGTCCATGCTGAGTCCCCTACTAAAAATGTCCCTTTTCTCTCCCTCTTTTTATTTATTATTATTTTTTTGAGATGGAGTCTCAAAAATCCTAAAGTAGCTGGGATTACAGGCACGCACCACCACACCCAGCTACTGTTTTGCATTTTTAGTAGAGACGGGGTTTCACCATGTTGGACAGGCTGGTTTCGAACTCCTGGCCTCAGGTGATCTGCCCGCCTTGGCCTCCCAAAGAGTGCTGGCATTACAGGCGTGAGCCACCGAACCCGGCCTATTTATTTATTTTTATATTTTGAGATGGAATCTTGCTGTCGCCAAGGCTGGAGTGCAGTGGCACGATCTCGGCTCACTGCAACTTCCATGTCCCAGGTTCAAGTGATTCTCCTGTACTCAAGTGAGTCTCCTGAGTAGTTGGGATTACAGGTGCCCACCACTGCACCCAGCTAATTTTTATACTTTTAGTACAGACAGGTTTTCACCATGTTGGCCAGGCTGGTTTCAAACTCCTGATCTCATGATCCACCTGCCTCAGCCACCCAAAGTGCTGGGATTACAGGCGTGAGCCACCGCGCCTGGCCTTATTTTTTTTAAATTTTAATTAATAGGCCGGGCGCGGTGGCTCACGCCTGTAATCCCAGCACTTTGGGAGGCCGAGGCGGGCGGATCACGAGGTCAAGAGATCGAGACCATCCTGGCCAACATAGTGAAACCCCGTTTCTACTAAAAAAAAATACAAAAATTAGCTGGGCATTGTGGCTCTCGCCTGTAGTCCCAGCTACTCGGGAGGCTGAGGCAGGAGAATTGCTTGAACCTGGGAGGCGGAGGTTGCAGTGAGCAGAGATTGCGCCACTGCACTCCAGTCTGGCGCCTGGTGACAGAGCGAGACTCTGTCTAAAAAAAAAAAAAAGTTTTTTTTTAAATTAATTAACATTAATTAATTTACAGAGACTGGATCTTGCTGTGTTGCCCAGGCTGGAGGCTTATTCACAGGGGCAATCCCACTACTGATCAGCAAGACATTCTTTTCTCTTTTTACGCTTTGCTAAACTTTCATTTTTTTTTTTTGTGACAGAGTTTTGCTCTTGTTGCCCAGTCTGGAGTGCAATGGCGAGATCTTGGCTCACCAAAACCTCCACCTCCTGGGTTCAAGCGATCCTCCTACCTCAGCCTACTGAGTAGCTGGGATTACAGGCCTGTGCCACCATGTCCAGCTAGTTTTGTAATTTTAGTAGAGATGGAGTTTCTCCATGTTGGTTGGGCTGGTCTCAAACTCCCGACCTCAGGTGAGTAATCTACCCACCTCAGCCTCCCAAAGTGCTGGGATTACAGGCTTGAGCCACTGTGTCCAGCTACTCTTTGGTAAACTCTTATTCAACTGTCAAAGCCCCAGCCTCAGTGTCCCCTCCTGATCCTAGGCATGAAGAATCACCTGGGGGACACTCACAGCTCATAGTCGGGCACTGGGTGGGGCCTAGGCATATGCCCCTTAGGGATGACTCCAATAGGCTTCTTGGCGTCCAGGAGGGCCTGGGAGAGCAGCTCATCCTCAAACACAATCGTCTTCGGCCTTGCCTTGTGGGGTCTCGGCTGGGGCTGGCACGGAGGGCGGGGGGCGCTGGTTTTGAGGCCTCGAGGCGTCAGTCTCTGCAACTGCCACAGGAGTCGTGGTTTGGAGTTAAATCGGGGTGTCGGGAAACCGGAGTCCCTCAAACTGGGGGGACTATATCTTTTGCCTAGAGACATGGCCTCAGGACCCCGTCCTGGTCAGGCTCACCGGGGGCCCTGGCCCAGGCGGGTGGGTCTGCAGCAGGTGCCCCCGGGAGCCACGAGTCTTGGGGGGCTCCCGGCTGGGCATCGGTCTGTGGGAGACGCAGCTCAGGGGTTTCCGGGCTGATGGGCGAATCCTGCGGGGGGCGTCGTGGCCCGCGCGCGGCGGGGGTGGTCTGCGGGCGGCCTGCGGGTGGACACGTGGAAAGGACACGCCTGGCGACGCCGAGAAAGGAGGCGTGGGGAGGCGGGTCCGGGAGCTGCCAACCCTTACCCCGTCTATGGTTTTTGCATAGACGCACGCGATTGGTCCGTAACGACTTCCAGACCCCGCCCCCGACGGCGTAACACGGAAGAACGGTATGCAAAAGAGCCCTGACGTCGCCGAGCAGCTCCAGTTAACCCCTGCGCTGCCGCAGCCTCGCCCTCTGGGGCACGAAGAGCCCACGGACAACCGCGCCCGAGGAGCTCCTGGGGACCTCCGCCCCGCCTGCAAGGCCGCCCAGCTCGCTACCGCCCCGGGTCACCTGTCCCAGCGTCTGGGGCTCCAACCCTTGGTCCGCTGTCGGAGAGGCGCTGGAGTCCCGGCTGTGCATTAACTGCAGGCTGGACCCGACTGGCGGGGTCGCTCCGTAGGGCAGCGGGGCGGGGTCTGACAAGAGGGGGCTGGGCCTGACGGCGTGAGGGCGGGGCCGGCCTGGCTGGGCTTGGCCGCACACCTGAGAAAGAGGTTCGACTCCGACCTCGCCCCTCAAGTTTATTTGTCTGAAAAAAAGGGATGGTTTTGCAAATTTAAACTTTGTTTTTTCAGCAATTATATTAAAAAAAAAAATTTAACAGTCTCGCTTGCCCAGGCTGGAGTGCAGTGGCGTGATCTTTGCTTGCTGCAGTCTCCACCTCCCAGGTTCAAGAGATTCTCCTGTCTCAGCCTCCCAAGTAGCTCGGACTACAGGGAACTACAGGCGCCCACCACCACACCCAGCTATTTAAAATTTTTTTTATTTTTAATTTTTTTATTTTTAGTAGAGACAGTTTCGCCTGTTGACCAGGCTGGTCAAACTCCTGACCTCCAGTGATCCTCCTGCCTCGGCCTCCCAAAGTGTTGGGATTACAGGCGTGAGCCACCATGCCTGGCCCCTTTCTTTCTTTTATTTATTTTAAGGGTGAGCAAGTGGTGTTAGACAGCACTTTTTTTTTTTTTTTTTGGTTTTTTTGTTTTTATCCTTTTTGTGGAGAATGGGGTCTGACTGTATTGTCCAGGCAGGTCTCGAACTCCTGGGTTCAAGCTTTCCTTCCGCCTCTGCCTCCCTAAGAGCTGGGATTACAGGCGTGAGCCGCAGCACCTGGCTAGCAGCCCTTTACTTGCAGTGCATGGCTAACTCATAGTGCACCCAAAATCGGCTTTTTTTTTTTTTTTGATACAGGTTCTGGCTGTGTTTTCCAGGCTGGAGGGCATGATCATTGCTCACTGTGGCCTCAACCTTCTTCCTGGCCTCAACTGATCCTTCCACCTCAGCCTCCCAAGTAGCTGGAAGCACAGGTGACACCACGTCCCCCTAAATTTTGTATTTTTTGTAGAGATGGGAACTGGCTATGTTGCCCAGTCTGAACTCAAACTCCTGAGTTCCAGTGATCGACCCACTGCAGTCTCCCACAGTGCTGGGATTAGTGGCATGATCCTGTAATTGTGCTCGGCAATTTTTTTTTTTTTTTAGATGGCGTTTTGCTCTTGTTGCCCAGGCTGGAGTGCAGTGGCGTGATCTTGGCTCATTGCAACCTCTATCTCCTGGGTTCAAGCAATTCTGCCTCAGCCCCCAAGTAGCTGGGATTATAGACATGCGCCACTACGTCTGGCTAATTTTGTATTTTTTAGTAAAGACAGGGCTTCTCCATGTTGGTCAGGCTGGTCTTGAACTCCCAACCTCAGGCGATCCGCCCGCCTCAGCCTCCCAAAGTGCTGGGATTACAGGCCTGAGTCACTGTGCCCAGCTCTTGTTGACTCTTAGAAGTTCTTCAAATCTCAGCCGGACTAGGTGGCCTTACACTTGTAATCCCAGCACTTTGGGAAGCTGAGGTGGGTGGATCACTTGAGGTCAGGAGTTCGAGACCAGCCTGGCCAACATGATGAAACCCTGTCTCTACTAAAAATACAAAAATTAGCCAGGTGTGGTGGCATGCACCTGTAATCCAAACTATTTGGGAGGCTGAGGCAGGAGAATCACTTGAACCTGGGAGATGGAGGTTGCAGTGAGGCATGATAGCACCACTTCATCACTCCAGCCTGGGTGACAGAGCAGGACGCTAAAAAAAGTTCTTCAAATGTCAAGAAAATTCATTTAACCAGGCAGTGTATCTTTTTTTATGGCTGCTATAAATTGGATGCTTTAAAACATTTTGCAGTTATGTACATATATAGTACACAGAAATGAATTTTTAAATATCTGTAAGTTTCTTCCTAGCTTATGGAATTCTCTTGTTGAAATATCTTTAGTTGCATTTCTTGGGTCTATCATGTATACAGTCATATCATCTGCAAATTTTGCCTTCTCATTTCTTATTGTTCTTTTCCTTCTTTTCTTATTTTTTAAAGTATAATTTCTTTCTTTCTTCTTATTTTAGAGATGGGGTCTCACTATATGCCCAGCCTGGAGTGCAGTGGCACCATCACAGCTGACTGCAGGCGTGAACTCCTGGGCTTAAGTGATCATTGCCTCAGCCTCCCGAATAATCGGAACTATAGGTGCGCACCACCACACCTGGATTATTATTATTATTATTTTTTTGAGACACAGTTTCGCTCTGTTGCCCAGGCTGGAGTGAAGTGGTATGATCGTGGCTCACTGCAACCTCTGCCTCCGATGTTCAAGCGATTCTTCTGCCTCAGTCTTCCAAGTAGCTGGGATTACAGGCCTGTGCCACCATGCCTGGCTAATTTTGTATTTTTTAGTAGAGACGGGGTTTCACCATATTGGCCAGGCTGATCTCAAACTCCTGACCTCAAGTGATCTGCCTGCCTCGGCCTCCCAAAGTCCTGATATTACAGGTGGCATGAGCCGTGCTGGGCCATTCCTCATTGTGATGGTAGAAATATTGAGTATTTGCCACTTAAAGTTGACGCTGCCTTTGGCTTGAGATTTTTTTTTTTTTTTTTTTTTTTATGAGACAGGGTTTCACTGTGTTAGCCAGGATGGTCTTGATCTCCTGACCTTGTGATCCACCCATCTCGGCCTCCCAAAGTGCTGGATTACAGGCGTGAGCCACTGCGCCCAGCCAGCTTGAGATTTTTAAGAGAGGAGAATAATCTATTTTCTTTCTTTTTCAATTAGGAGACTTTGAGTAATGGAGGCAAAACAGTACAAAGTGTCATTTCAGCATGTGATTTTGTTTTCTTTTTTGGAAACAGAATTTCCTTCCTGTCACCCAGGCTGGAGTGCAATGGCGTGATCTCAGCTCACCACAACCACCGCCTCCCAGGTTCCAATGATTCCTCTGCTTCAGCATCCCAAGCAGCTGGGACCAAAAGTCTGCACCACCACGCCCACTAATTTTTGTATTTTTTGTAGAGACGGGATTTTATCGTGTTGCCGACTGGTCTCAAACTGCTTAGCTCAAGTTATCCTCTGCCTCAGCCTCCCACAGTGCTAGCATTACAAGGTGTGAGCCACAGTGACCCGGGCAATGTGGCCTCCTAAGGAGTCATAAGGAATCATCTTTGTGTCTCAGGCATAAACTTCCTTTTATTTTTTTTGAGTAGGGGGTCTCACTCTCTCACCCAGGCTGGAGTGCATTGACATGATCACTATTCACTGTAGCCTCCAATTCCTGGGCTCAAGGGGTCCTCCTGCCTCAGCTTCCCCAGTAGTTGGGATTACAGGTGGACGTCACCATGCCTGGCTGTCTCTTTCTTATGATCTACTTTTTCTTTTTTGAGACGGAGTCTTGCTCTGTCACCCAGGCTGGAGTGCAGCAACACGATCTTGGCTCACTGCAACTTCTGCCTCCCGGGTTCAAGCAATTCTAGTGCCTCAGCCTCCTGAGTAGCTGGGATTACAGGCGTGTGCCACCACGCCCGGCTAATTTTTGTATTTTTTGGCAGAGACGGGGTTTCGCCATGTTGGCCAGGCTGGTCTCGAACTCCTGGCCTCAAGTGATCCACCTGCCTAGGGATTCCAGGCATGAGCCACCACATCTGGCCCTGACCTTCTTCCCCTGCTCATGCACTGTCTGTGGCTCTTCAGGGACCTCCAAAGACCCTCAAATCTCACTGCCCAAAAAGCACTGCTGGAGAGGGGGCAGGGGACAGACAGAAGACAGACAAGGTGGGTGGGGTCTTTATTTGAGTTTGGGCATGATTCGAATGAAGAGGATCATGCTAATGAAGATGAAGCAGACGATAATGAGCATGGCCCACAGCAGCCAGTTGACTGACTTCTGCGTGTGCTGCTCCAGCCGCTCTGACTCCGTCTTTAGCTTCTCCAGGTTCTGGTCCGCCATTTTCAGTGAGTGTGACAGGGTCTGTGGGCGAGGTAAAAAGGGGTCAACAGGACTGGGGCCAAGTATGGTCAATCTCTACTTCCCTAGAGCAGGCCTGCCCTCTTGTCACTTGCTGATGCGGTGCCCTCTGCTGGGAATGCCATTTTTGCCTTGTACAAAACTCCTATTCATCCCTCAAAGCCCCAGCCACCATGCTCCTGTGCTGGGAAGCCTTCTCTGATGCCCCAGGGCAGAGGCTGGAGAACTCCCCCAGTCCCCACACCTGGTTGTCTTTCTTGATGACACTCTGGGCAGCCAGCGTATTGGTCTTGAGGCTCCGGGCCAGTCCTAGCATCTCCTCGGCCAGCTTTTCCTGGAGGTTCTGATGTCGCTGCAGGACAAGGTCTAGCTCGGCTGCCGACTGCTTCTCATTCACTGGCTGGGACTCTGCCACGCCACTGATCCCACACACGGGAGGACGGAGGGCATGAGAGATGGAGTGGGGGAGGGGAGAAGACCAAAACATTTTTAAGGGACCCAAAGGTCATGGTTCCAGCCACAGCCCTGGCAGGGACTCAGTTTCCCTCCACTGCTCTGACTTTTCTTTTTTTTTTTTTTTTTTTTTTTTGAGATGGAGTTTCGCTCTTGTTACCCAGGCTGGAGTGCAATGGCGCAATCTCGGCTCACCGCAACCTCCGCCTCCTGGGTTCAGGCAATTCTCCTGCCTCAGCCTCCTGAGTAGCTGGGATTACAGGCACGCGCCACCATGCCCAGCTGATTTTTTGTATTTTTAGTAGAGACGGGGTTTCACCATGTTGACCAGGATGGTCTCGATCTCTTGACCTCGTGATCCACCCGCCTCAGCCTCCCAAAGTGCTGGGATTACAGGCGTGAGCCACCGCGCCCGGCCGACTTTTCTTTTTTTGAGGCAGCGTTTTGCTCTTGTCACGCAGGCTGGAGTGTGATGACATGATCTTGGCTCACTCTGCGTCTCAGGTTCAAGTGATTTTCCTGCCTCAGCCTCCCAAGTAACTGGGATTACAGGTGCGTACCACCACGCTCGGCTAAATTTGTGTTTTTAGTACATATGGGGTTTGACCACGGCCAGACTGGTCTCGAGCTCCTGACTTCAGGTAATCCACCC